TGTTGACTCTGTTTTAAATTAGTATTAAACTGCTTAGGGTTTCAGTACTGGGAATAATTATGTAAAAATACAATTGTATGTTACTGAATTTTCTTTTTCAGCAGTATGGATTAGAAATCATTTATTAAAAGAAATTGCCTTTTTTTTACTTCCTGATTTTCTTATAGTAGGGTTGTCCAATTGGTGGCCCATGGGCTGCATGAAGTCCCCAAGGGGGTTAACCTGCAGCCCCTGGGCTTCTGGTCTGGGCATTGCTCTTCCCACCACTTCAGCTGCTGTGGTCACAGCTGGAGTCTCTTTCCCCCTTCCTCCTTCAACCTGGGGGTGGGGCGAGGTGGTTTGCAGGGCTGAGGCAGCTTCTGGCTAAGAGGTTTGCAGGGGGACCTCAGATAGTAAAGGAGTGCTGACACAGTGACATAGAGGGGAAGGGGCATGCCATATGGTGGGGGAGATGCATGCAGCACAGTGTGATGGGGGCCTGTGGCCCCTGGCCACTGGTACATTAGACAGCCCTGTCCTACAAAAAAAAAAATGTTTTCGTATGTGGAAAATAATTTTGCATAAAACCAGTGTTTTGCCTATACAGAAAATATTAAAAATCAGTCAGTTTTCCAATTAGCCAAAAAAAAGGACTGTTGTACTTTGGCATTATAATGGCTTCCTGTAGTCACTTTGGGCATTACTTTTTCTTTGTCAGTATGTTTATAGATTTGGGCATGGTGACCATTTATTTGGCTATTACTTAAAAAAATGAGGATTACGCTAATTGATCCTTTTGATTTGAATCTACCTATTCCCATATGAACAAAGTCCCTGGTGTCTTTTGTCATATATTTGGTTACACTTTGACCTTTGGTCTGTTTTAGGTTTTCCAACAGGACTCAAAAGATTACTGGAAGATGAAACGATTAAAAAAGCTGGCGTAGGAATTGAAGGAGACCAGTGGAAGCTGATGAGTGATTTTGAAATCAAACTGAAGAGCTTCGTAGAGCTGGCTGATGTTGCCAATGAAAAAGTAAAAACAATCAGTCTTTTGGTTTGGGTGGGGTTTCATCATTAGTTTATCAAAAGGGGAGGCCTTTATGTTTATTGACTATCAATTATGATGTCAAACATACTGTTGATTTAACTGAGAATAATAGTACCAGTTATGTTTCTTTTAAAGCATGTTGAATGATCACTTCAGTAAGAGCCTACAGTATTAAATACCCTTACTTTCATTGCTCCTCCTCTTCCAGTTATTCCAAACTCATGTCACACGTCTTTTTTCACCATTTTTGAAAACTTAACAATGACCTTAGCAAAGCTGAGACAGAATAATACCCCAAATAAATTGACTATGACAATCAGATGTGCTGAACTGCTGATACAAAAGAATTGCTGTTAGAGTTGGAACCAAGTGCCTTTAAAGTTCTTAAGGTGTGTGAAAAATACTTTCGTAAGCAGTCTGAAAGCAATAAGGAGATCTGGACGCTACTTCTATTCAGACTTGTGCCTCCTTTGGGAAAGGCAGGATATAAATCAAATAATGATAATTAGTTAACAGATCTAGGAGTTGTAGCTTGGCTATTAGAGTGTTATGATTTTAAATCTGGGGTTCCTGAATTTTATTCTCGATGTGTACAACCTGCCTGTAAACTAGTAGTTACCAAATCTCCTCTCCCTCCTTTCTAAGTAGCAATAAGTTTCTTTGATTTCATACACACAATAACTATTCGTGTGCCTGCAAGTTACAGGGGGCAGGACTCACTAATGTCTAACTTTCTCTGTGGTAATTGTTCCTGTGTCTGCAGTTACCCCACCTTAAATGAAAGCTGAACTGAGGCAGGGTGTTTTCATTTAAGGGTAAGCTGTCCCAGAGCATGGACAAACTGCCTGGACAAACTGCTTCAGTGTACATTGTAGCAGAATGCCTACAGGAGCCTGTAGCAATACAAATGTAGCAAAACTATTCCAATTTTAACCTGTTTAGTCCAGGATTAAAGATGGGTCAGTTATGTATGGTTAGGCTCGGGTACACGGAACAATTACAGCGTAACAGTTGTTGCATGCTTCTGAGCAGCAGTTTCCCATCCCCTTTTGAAGTTGCTCCAAGTGTACATTTGTCCGTGCCCCTAATTTAATTCTTGCTGTGGGTTAATTTAGGGCACAGGGACAGATACCCTGGAGAAGATGAAGGACATTATGTTCCTACTCTGTGTTACTTTCCTGTGCCCTTAATTGATGAGGAGCAGGGACTGACCAAGACCGCAGTAACCATTTGTGTGCCCTCAGATATCAGGAGCAGCGAAATCTTTATTTAAGAATAAAAAACCCACTGTGCTTATTTTCATTAAATGCTTTCTCCCCTGTATTGTATTATACCATTAAAGAAAACAATGGTACAGTTGAAAGCCAACCATAGGAAGATAAAGAATAGGATAATACATGGGGAAACATATTATTAGATGTTTCATTGATATTGTTTTTACAGAGTAAAATATTAAGGTGTGTTTTTGTGGCTGTAAGAATTCTTGACCAAAGTGTTTCAATTCTAGATGATTGGCAAATATTTTAAAGTCCCAAATAATTGCATACAACAGCTTGCAAGATTCTCCTTATGACTAGCTGGGCAAATTTGTGTGTACAGTTCATTACCAGCAGAGCAACCTTTAAGTTAAGTCTACTACAGAACTTTCTAAAATAAATTGGAGAGTAAATTCACAAAGGGTCTTTAAGGCCAGGGAAAAGGGTACCTGACTTGGGAGGGTGTGGTTCTGTTCCCTGCTTCCAATTTTGTTTATGCCTTTTATCCTGATTCTCTAATGCAAAATGCTTAAAGGGTTTTTAGAACCCAGTACTTCCACCCCTCCCGGGCCAGTGCCTTCAATACTGTGCTACCTGCCTCTTGGAGTCTTGGAATCCTTTTTACTCAGTGACCCAGCTTCAGTTGTGCAGAGGAGAGTGCCTAAAGCCCAGCTCAGTTGCTAGGCTAATAGAATAAGTTGGAAATATGGTTTTGAACCAGATCTCCATGTTTCTGCATGAGGCCTTTAAACACTAGGTAACTATATAAAAAGTAGCTTTGCCTATGTTCTTGAATGAGGGTGACCAAGTATTACATTCTTTGCAGATTTAATAAGGCTCTTTGCATGTGTTCTGACTACTCCTTACAAAATCAGACCCTTCAGGGGACTTAGGCATGGGGATTTTTGGGAAGACTACATGGAGTTAGGCATGAGAAAAGGGTTTAAAGCCAAGTATTTAGGATAAGCCAAGATTGCAGTGCCTCTGGGTATGCATCATGATATCTGAACTTTAGGCAGCTAAGTGGATTTTTTGGTGAAAACCTAGGTGTTTAGGGCTCTCAAGCACCTAAGGAAGTTGGTTAGCATTTGGAAGATGGGATTGAGTGAACATGTAGCAGAACAATGACATGTATAAATTCAGACTGGGGAATGACAGGCTAGGCTCTTGTACTGCAGAAAAAAATTCCTGGTGATTACAGTGGATGATGAGCTGAATAAATGCTAACAATATACTCTTGGTGGTTTTGCACTAGTAGCATTCTGGGATGTATTAACAGCAGTATCACTAGCAAATCAAGGGAAGTCATACTTTTCCTCTGTTTGGACTCATGAGGCCTCACCTGGAGTGCTCTGTCCAACTTTGGCTCCCATACTTCAAGAAAGAGTTGAGAAAATAGAGTCCAGCACAGAGCATTGAAAATAATTAGAGGACTCGAAAACATGACATACAAGGAAAGGCTGAAAGAACTAAGGCTGGAGAAGAGATGAGTGAAGGGGTGGGCACATAATAACAGATAAATGAAGTGTGGTTGTATGGTAGATGGATATATAGATTGTTTTCTGTACCTCAGGGGTCAAGACTAGGAACAGTGTTTGGAGATTGGGAAAAACATTTTCCTAATGAAAGTAACTAAGCACAGGTTACCCAGAGAGGTTGTGAAATCTCTCTCCTTGGAAGTTTAAGACCAGGTTAGACACATTTGAAAGGGATGGTTGAGTTGGGGACAATCCTGATTTGAGCAAGAGTTTAGAGTAGGGCCCCTTATGGATGTTATTTTGTGTAGTGCTAAGCTCCCCCCACCGGGCCCCCTTCTGCCACAGCTGGTGCCTTGGTAAACGTTATAAAGATGGTGGTCCCCAGCAGCAGCTGGAGGGCTGCAAGAGGGTCTATGTACCCAGTGGCTGCTGCATTAACCTTCTGCTTGTGCCAATGCCTCCTTCTGCATCAGCTGCCCAAGGCTCAAATTGTACCAATTAGGCGTCTGGAAAATCATACAGGAATAATATGACAGAGGCAGGAATTCTGAGTTCTTCAATTACAAAATTGCAGTCATTGGGTTTTTGGTTGTAGCTGTGTTGGCCTAAGGACATAGGCAGGCAAGTTTCTTTGGGGAGATGTGTTATCTTTTATTAGACCGACGGAGTAGTTGGAAAAATAGCAAGCTTTCAGGTGCAGTCACCCTTCATCAGGCATAGGGAGTCTTTGCTGGTCTTTTTGTAGTCAACTCTCCTAACTCTACAGCATGTAGAGTAATCCTTATATTGAGGATTTAGTTAGGTGTGGTGATCCAGGAGCCTCCACTTTCACTACAATGTTGAGTTGGTTTTGTTATCTTAAGAAATTATTACTACTACTACTGCATAAAATTTATTTGTACTTAATAAATATTTCTTATTTTTAGCTTAAGTGTAAAGAGATATGGAGTCTAAATGGTCTGGTAAAACACCTATTCAGTAAGCAGCTTCTGAAGGACAAGTCTATTCGTTGTGGTAACTGGGAAGACTTTCCACTAAGCGATGACCAGAAATTGTATGCAGCCACTGACGCCTATGTACGTACAAAGAGAAGTCTATTCCATGTATAACTTACTCCTTTTAACGTTATTTGTGAACCTTTTAAGTGTCCTGCTGCTGTGGTGCTTACCAAAAAGCCCACTGAAATTTTTTTGCAACAACTTTGTAAGTACTGCCTCTTTAGCATGGTAAGCTCTCTACAAGATATTATTTAGTCTGTTGCACAAATATTGATTTGTTTCTAATTTCATTTTAATCCATGAGTCATTTGAAGGTCATTTCAAGATACTGTTTTCCCTGCAGATGGACCTGATTTGTAAATATATATATTTTCTTAGATTAGGAGTATAAACCTGTAGTAAGTAAGAGCAATAGAAAAAGGTTATAATTAATATAATATGAAGAACAGTAATACCTTAAGGCAAGGATATTTGTGAGTGATATCTTCTGTTGGACGAACCACACGTTTCCTGGACTGTCGCAGCTACAATGAGTCCAACACAGATACCTTAAAACATTTATCTTAGATAGGAGTAAAATTTTTATTTATCAATAATTAAAGAATAGAAGAAAAGCAATATAAAATACCAGAATAATATGCTGAAATAAATCTGTAGCATTTGGCAAATCAAGGTCACAGTCTAATAGTGGGTACGTGTTTCCCTCAGGGACTCAGAATGCATTCAGTTGAGTATAATATTCACTAGCTTTAGTGTTCTCTAAGCATTATTACCAGAGATCCGGGTTTTCCATTCCCTGCAGGCAAACGTGGAAGAACATGGATTTTCTCCTTTAAAGGAGAAAATCCGTGTTCTTCTGCATTTTTTGGCAGAAAATGGAAAAGCCAAATCTCTGCTTTGGAAAAACTCTTATTTATTTTCAAGTCATGTGTTAAATGTAGTCAGGTATGTTTAACTCCATAGTTAGCCATCTCTTGGGGCAGCTTGCCATATCTCCATCCTTTATCATTGTAAAAGGACTGTATTTGGCTCTTTACAAACATCCTTATTCTAGGAAACTTACAGGTAGGTAAGTAGAATACCCAGGATATTCTTTAATTTACAAATAGATCCTGATTTTTCTTATCAGCTGGCATATCCAGTCTGATCAGAGCAGTCTGCATCAGGGATAGGCAGCTATTTTGGTTGGTGGGCCACTTAATTAGTTTTGGTGAGCTGCTGAGGGCCGCGCGCACAGTTTCAGAAGATATCATTTTAACAAAGATAAAAAACAAATCGTATACTAAAAACCAAACATCTACTGTAACATTTTAATTTTATTTAAAAAATAATAGGTTTTGACCTGACTTATGGTTTTTTTGAGTAGTGTATATCGAGGTGATTGCGTAGTAGCTTGAAATACACAATATACAAGAGTAAGAGTTTATGGGGTGTGTGAGGGTGGGGAAGTTGTGTGTGTGTGTG